TCAAAGTCGTCCGGAAGACATTATAGTAGTCCCGAAGATACTACGAAATAAAGAAATTCTTCATACATTGTTGAAAAGACATTATAGTAGTCCCGAAGACACTACGAAATAAAGAAATTCTTCATACATTGTTGAAATGTCTAGAAGACATTATCAAAGAAAAATGTTCAAACTCTATTATTTTTTTTCACCAGAAGTGAGAAAAATCTATGTTTTATTGATGCGATACATTCTACATATTACATACATTTATTTTGCCTAATATATATGGTATGAGGAATATATTTATTCTGCCTAATAAATTTATGACACATATTTTCTGTTATTAATTTAAATATTCTGTAATAAATTTTTTTTATGTCATATCAGAAGGGTCCACCCCGTGAAACCCGGACGGGTCGCGGCACCAATAAAAAGGAAATCTTGGCAAACCGCCAAAGTGGAACATCTCATCCTCTAGAGGGTCGACGCCGACAAGGGCAACCCGGAAGAATCCTTGCCTGTAATTCTTGTAAGACTAGGAGTACAAGGTGAATAAGCCCCCATCTCTACCCCCATTCAAAGAAAGAACGCCATAAGGCGGAGCACCCGCCTTCAACTGATAGAAGTGGAGAAAGACCCGAAGGGACACCTCTATCCCTAGAACCACACACAAGACTTGAAACGCCCTTAAGAAACCCCAACTATTGGGATGCAGCTGGCTAGGAGCCACACTGACGTAATTCAGAAAATCACACTCAAACTGAGTAAAAGGAAGACGGACACCCAAGTCCCTGAAAAAACACTGGTAAACATAGAAATGAGGAGGGTCGGTAGGGCTCCCCATGTACACGCCCTCACCAGCCGGACAAGGCTCCAACCGAATCTTCCGAGAAATAGAGGGGTCACAAATTCTGTGTGTTCTCCAAACCGCGTTGACCTCTAAAACCGATTTGAACACACTCCCGACCTTAGCCATCTCACGCTTAACCCAGGCGTACCCAGGAATGCCTAGCTCCAAGTTCTCAGACGGAGGCGGGTCCGCCCTCTTTTCGGCGGCGGCTTTCCCGGTAGCCACCGCCTTACCACGCGCCTTGCCCCGAGAAGGCGCATTTATTTATTTATTTATTTATTTTATCTTCAACATACATTAATGGCTAACCAATTCATTGAATACCAGCTTCATAGAGGAACTTCAGATGATAAATCAGTAAATAAAGATCAATAATTCAATATACATTACAGTGGTTCATTCTCGGCGTCTCATCATCCAAGGAGATTATAACAGCTTCCCAAAAAATCAATTGACAAACAGTGGCACAAAAAGGTTATCCTATTAAACATAAAGGTAAGTTTATAATTTTTTTGGTACATCGTAAGGTTATAATTTATCAATAAAAAAAATGGGAAAATGAAATATTTGAAAAGCAAGACTTCATATTGAATTCGTAGATTCTCTGCATACATACATTCATGACTAAGTTTGCTTTTAGTAAGTTTATATTTCATGCTCTGGCTAAACGACTAATTTGGTGTAGTTTTACAAACTAATTACTAAAATGGGGTTGTTTTGAAACATATTACACCTTTGGGGCTGTTTTGTACGGTGTCGCTATGGGCCATAGCGACACCAATGACACGTGGCAATTTTTTTTTTTAGGCTGGATTGGGCTGGACCAGTGTCGCTGTAGGCTTGCCCATCACGCAAAAGTGGCGCTGTGGCTCACAGCGCCCCCTTTTTATATATTTTTTTTCTTTATTAAATTATTTTTTACATTATTTGCTCAAGAGGCGCTGTGGCCCAGCACGCCTGAGTGGCGCTGTGGCTCACAGCGCCCCATTTTTATATATATTTTTTTCTTTATTAAATTATTTTTTACATTATTTGCTCAAGAGGCGCTGTGGCCCAGC